TGGAAAGCTTTGAAGAAACATGAATTTATAGAGTTAAACAGGCCTAAAATTTTATATCTACTCTTTTTGGAATTGAGGGAACAAGGACATCCTTGTGAAAGATGAGGTGGTAGTCCCATCCCTGAATTTTTTATGTTGTACAAAGCAGTTCTGTTTTATCACTAGATGTTGTCCGTGGTTGTAATTTTTCCCTTTGCCATTTTTTAAAAACTGGCAAAAAAAAAAAAAAAAAAAAAAAAAACAAACAAACAAAAAAAAAACTTTGTGGCTTCCTGTTTGAATATCAGGCTGATCAGATCTGTGTCATAACTTCTCTCTACTCAGGATTTACTAGAATGTGATTACAGTGTAATCAGTTCAAAGAATGACATTCAACATGTCAGATACAAAATTATGCCAAAATGATGTACATAGATTTATAGTATTTAACCAGTTAGGATTAACTGCCCTGGGTTTTACAAGGAGCACCAAAAGCACTTGCTTGGGAAACCCAAGAACTGTGTCAATGCTGATGGCAAGATAGGCAGAGGGACATAGGTCCTGGAAAATGGGAAGGAAGACAACCACAGTGGCTTCTGCTTATGTGGAAAATTGTTGAATCTGTCTTCCTTTACTAGAAACACACTATCATTTCTGTAATCTAATATTATGTGTTTCAAGGGAGAGAATCTAAATGTGTAATGGTCCATGCAAAGACAAAACCAAGGAGTATGGGTGCTTATAAGTAGAATGAATGAACTCACAAATCCTGCCTCAGTCAACAGAGAGAGAGAGTGGTAAGGAGAGAAGGCAGAGACAGACAGACACTGAGGAGGAAAAGGGAAAAATTGAGGGAAAGGTTCCCTTCATTTTAAGAGCCTTGAGCACTGCCTGGATCCGAGCCCCCTTGACCACTCTAGTTTCCGTCAAATTAATTAAGATGACCCCTCCACACCCCAGACCATTACTCTTCTCTGAATAGTGTCCCAGCCTCTTTTTGTCAAAACTTTGAAGTTGATCCCTCAGGATGCCCACAGAGACACAGGAAAGTGCTTTTATTCCTCGTGTTATCAGCCCCAACACTACAGTGCATTCCTGTCCCATCAGGAGCTGGTGTCATAGGCTGGACTCCCACAGGCAGGTGTAGTGACAGATGGGAGTGCAAGCAGTGACCCCAGGAGGCACTGTTGGCAAGTCAGGTTTGAGAATCCTTACTGAGTGAGGGATGACAACCCTTCTGGGGACTGCTGGGAGATAGTGCAGACTCCACTTTATCCCAACTAAAGGTCAGGAGAAGTGGTGTCTCTGTCCATTAAGTCCTATCAGGCATTGGTTGAGGATTGCTCCCAGGTGTTCTGGCTCCTTCTCATCCTGGCCCATCCTTACAAGGGCAGGTAGACTGCACCTCCCATCAGACAAACAGTGGAATGTGAAGGTAGTGGAAACCATCTGGTCTGTGTGGATGGGAAGAGCAAGTGATAAAGGCTGTGGATGGGTCACCAAGAAAGTCTGCAACAGGGAATAGCATCTGACTGATGCACACTATATATATTTTCTCTAGTGCATAGAAACCTTTCCCTAGTGCTTTAGAAATAAGCTGAACTCCACAGAACATCCATTAACCTTGTTTTCAGACTCTATGAAACAGTGTTCTGTTGTTGGTTACATTGTTACCTGGTGGAGATCTATTGTTCAGTAGGACTCCACCTACTACTAACCAGCCACAGAATAAGGGAATGAGAAGGAAAACACTCCCCAAAATTTAAGCTCTCAGAGACATGGGGTTGAAGCAGCTCTGACTCAGGGATCTGTGTCTGTTTCTGATCAGCTGTGTGACTTTGGGCAAGTCAAAACCTTCACCTTCTTACCATTATAGGGTTAGTTTGAAGATTATATAAATCCATGCATGTGATCTGTTCAGCCCAGCACCTGTCATGGGTTCACTCTCATTAAATATGAGCCTCTTCACTCACAGAGGCTTCTGTGAGAACAGAGAGCAAGAGATCAGAGTGTGTGAAGAAGCAACTGCCAACAAGTGAAATGTCTCTCCATCCCAAAGGTAGGTCAGATATGCCCCCTGACAAATATTACCAGCAACTGCAATACCTGTGGCACTGACAAGAGCCGAGGGATGCACTGAGGGATGCCTCATGGTCCAGGGTGGAGAGGGTAAGATTCAGGAGGGATTTACAGGAAGAATTTATAAAAGGTGAGAGGGCTGAGGGTTGCCGGAGGGGAGGGGATGGGAGAGATGGAGTGTCTGGGTGATGGACATTGGGGAGGCTATATGCTATGGTGAGTGCTGTGAATTGTGTAAGACTGATGAATCACAGACCTGTATTTCCCTGAAACAAATAATACATTATATGTTAATCTAAAAAAAAAAATAAAAGGTGAGAGGGGCTTCTGTTGAGATCCTACAATGTGCCTTTGCTCAAAACTTCTCTCTCCTGAAAACCCTAGAGTACACAGAGTGTCTGAGTGTTAATGTATGCCTGTGTGTCTGTGTGTCTGTCTGTCCATGACAGCATCCCTTAGTGGAACTCAAGGTGCACATGTGAACAATAGTGGGGAAAATAACTGATGTCATTAGTAAGTGATTGAATGTGAGAGGAGATCCCTTTTAAGGACAAGCGTCCACCAATCTCTCACTTTCCAATCTTGGTGACTTCTCCATATGACAATGTGGAGGTCAGAGGTTGAGATGAGGGAAGATGCAAGGTGACCAGAGAACCTACTATTAATTTGGATTTAAACATGAAGAATTGAGTTATTCCAGAGGCTACCTAAGATTAGAAGACTAGAGGCATTAGTGACTATAAAACTGACACCCAAAATAAGTCCTGAATTCCCACATGACATCAGCAAGTCACGTCTTAGAGGTTTTCAGAGTCATGTCTCCATAAAATGCACATCTGGCCTGTTCTACCTCTTGGAGTCATTGCTGTGAGGCATTGGGTCATTTTATTTCTCAACTGCTCAATGTGTACAGCACTTTAGAGAGAGAAGCTGCAGTGTGTAAATGTTTAAATTGCTTGGAAATCTGTCCCAAAATAAAATCTAAAATCCTCAGGCTAAGTTAGAAACAGAAGGAAAATAAAACACCAATTTCAATGGGAACGCAGAGTTTGAAAAAGTGATGTGAGCAATCCATTTAATTACATGTTTATTCATCTGTGGAGTGATGCGCAACCCACAGCCAGCCCTGGAGTGCGCTAATGAACGTCTATAATACTCATCTGGCTCCTCGCTCTACTGCCTGTCCTGATGGTAAGTGAGGGCAATTTAGGAGCCAGAATTCAGGGTGCAGTAGGAAATCATGGGACAAAAGTTATCTTAATAGTTACCGCCCAAAAGAAAAGTAAGTGAAACACACAGGGCTTTGCCAGAGCTCACAACAGGGCCAATTATGAGAGATAGTGGCAACAGGGCCTGACTAGCAGCTGAGATCCAGATGGAACATGGGATAGTTCACAGGTTTCTTAGACATTCCTGAACTTCCAAGACAGTGTTTCTTAGATCATAATGTTCAAACAACATAGATCTGAATCACTGGGGTGTTGTCATGAAGAATAAATTGGGAAAAAGAGCAAAGTCTTGAATTTCTTGACATCCAATAAATATTCCACAAAACTTATGATTGCAATTGGTGTATATTACAGAGTGGATGCTGTGAGGCCCTAATAGGAAATTGTTTTTACTTTTCTCTGATTTCTGCCTTCAAGCATGCTTTGTCAAATTCTCTTTTTAATTCCTTGATTTAATTTTAAGAAACTTCAGTGGTTTTCCTGTTACTTCCAGTTACTACATCAGACTTGTTTTTAGGTATAAAAAGCCGAATCAATGCCAACTCAAAAGTGCAATCTTTCATCCATTCAGAGCTTTCTGCTTTCCCCAGCTTGATGGCAGGTGGGGTGCACAGCAGACCCTCTGGTGGGCTCTGTGGTCCCATCCATCCCTATAGCACCTGAGGAAAGAGTTTACAATCTGGAAAATATCCAATGGGACAGTAGAAGCTCACTCTTCTAACAAGCACCCCCTGCACTGCAGAACTGACTGCCAATGTTCTCAGCAGTGTGCGTCCTCAGTCCACTTACCATGCTCGATCCATCTCCTTAAGGTCAATGCAGAGTTCTCACAAACAGGGAGAAAGAACTCACCTTTCAAAAGAAACTTGCTATATGGAGAAATTGGCATTAAAATAAATATTTGAAAACATTTTCATCATCACGTAATTATACTACTAAGAACAAAAGAAGTGCATCAACTCAACATTGTTCTCATCTGCACACTATTCAGTTTTAAAAAATCTCCCAAATGAAAAGATTCTGTGGGTTATGAAATCATTCACTAGAGTCAGCAAGGAAGATGAAAGTTTACAGCAAAATAAATGTCTTTGTGTAATAGGTAGATGGGACTGAAAAGTGATTACTAGGATTTAGAGTGAATGAACAGTTTTTTACATGCATAAGGTATTTTTGTCTGGTATGACAGCTTTTGAAACCAAATATCAAAATAAATCAATGTAAAACATGCTCTTGAACTGTTACTCTGTAGAATGTCATATAATTTTTCAAAAAATTTGAAGCATATTTGATCTTATTTCTCTCACTAAAATATTATCATCATTACTGAAATTGAATTTTTATAAACGCCCTTTCTATCATGTTCATCACTTATTCCCATACGTTTAAAGTGTAGATATTAGGGGCACCTGGGTGGCTCAGTCAGTTAAATGTCTGCCTTCAGCTCAGGTCATGATCCCAGGGTTCTGGGATAAACCCTTCATCCATCCATCCATCTGGCTCTTGCTCAGGGGAGTCTGCTTCTCCTTCTCCCTCTGCCCCTCCCCCTTGTCCATGCTCTCTCTCCCTCTCTCTCAAACAAATAAATCAGTCTTAAAAAATAAATAAAATGGAGACATCAGTAAAGTTGGACCTGTATACACATGTGCAAAGCACACACATACATAGTCACATATTTTCATATTTTCCACTATTATTTGTAAGGTTACATGATCAGAAATCAAAATTCTCAAGTTGAAAATCAGAAGAGCATAGCCTTGCATTCCCTTTGGATTTATCTTGACCCTGAAATGAGGAAACCTGCAGCTCTCCACTACCTGCCGTGTGGATCTGGCTTTGGGCCACGACCCCCAAACAGTCTCAGGCTACTGCAAAGCTGCAAGTCTACATGACTCCACACCCTCTACCAGATACTTTGCCCAAGCTATTTTTGTCTCTATAGAAAAGAGATAGGATACTGTCTTAAGACTTACCTTTAGAGGTTCAATTTGGTTAAAACGAAGCAGAAAACATGACACCGCCTTTTGAGTAAAAATGTAGATTGGACTCCTGCAGTTAATCGTCTGCTTCCCTCTTGTCTGAGGTCAGATTCCCCTGGAGCAGATACTAGGAGTGATTTATGACTATCTGAAGTGATGTGTTGGGAAGGAGCCTTCTAAACACTGAGGAAGGAGTGGGGAGGACGTAGGATGGAGAGGCAGGGCATGATGCTAGTTGATGCTAGGTAGCATCTCAGGTCCACCTTGATCCTGCAGGGAGCTCTGGAACATTAATCTCTAGAGTTTGCCTTTCCACACAAGTCAGGCAGGGGCTATGGCCACCCCAGGGAATGCGAACTCAAAGTACTTCTGGCTCTGTGCTCAGAGGGTGCTTTTGCTGGTGACAGCTCTGGAAGGAAGGTGCAGGTGCAGTGGTCTGATGCCAAGCCCAGCAAGGAGCACAAGAAGTAGTCAGAGGCATCCAGGACAGCTGGTGGGACATTATCATTTAACCACCTTGCTCAGCCAGAGAACTATCACCAAACTGACATTGTGTGTGTATCACATGGCTACCACCAAACTGACATTGTGTGTGTTCAGAACAAGCTCACCTTCTCCAGGCCCAATCTGAGGATCTCACTCCAGCCACACAGTCATATAGACCAAGATGGAGGTCTAGTGTCCTAAACCTTGTTTTTATTTTATTAATAATAAAACTGAAGCAAGAAAAATAATATCCAGCATCATTAGGGAACTAAGTGTTTTGGATGATATAAACTTAATTTTAATGACAAAATCATAGTTAAGTAGTTGTATGAAAAGCTTTCTAAAATAGTTTCCTTATCTGCCTACTTAACTAAAGACTTCTGAGTATAATCAATGTTTTCCTAACAACACAACATCCCAACTATGAGGATCAAGTACTATTCAGTAGTATCACGCAGTGAGTGCTCAGTCTATTAAGAAAGGAGGCAATACTTGATGTTGCATTGAGAGGCTTTTTATTACTGGATATTTTAGTCCTTGAGGCAATGTCTAGCACTTTCTCTCATCTCCACACCTTGTACTCTGTCAAAGCATGCTGCTGATGGGGCCTCTTTTAGCAGCCAAGGCATGCTGCTGATGGTGCTGATGGTGCCTTGTACTCTGTCAACGCATGCTGATGGTGCCTCTTTTAGCCTACACCTTGTATTCCTTTATTTTTATTTTTTATTTTATTTTTTTAATTAATATATTAACTTTATTTTTTTTTTCAGTGTTGCAGCTTGTATTCTAAGAAGTTTGATAGGTGGACACCTTAAATCTGTCTTTGAACTGGAAGTTAACCCGACCTATGTTAGGACATGAGGAACACTTGCAGCCATAAGAGTCAACCTCAATACATGAGATTTAGGCACCTTTTTACCTTTACACAGACTCTTTACATCCTTGTTCTGCCTGTTGCTTTAAATTTTAAGCCATGACTAAAGAAGACCTTTTCATACTGAGGGGTGCAGCTGAATCTATAACCTAGACCTTTCCCCAGACAGCTAGATCTCACCATTTTTCTATTCAGGACAAGTTGCAAAGAAAAGATAAGTGTCTTTGTTGTAGTATGTGATGGGTGCAAAAGAAATTAGAAGCCCCATCAGTCCAGAGTTCAATGCTAGAAATAGGGGTCCACTGTAGAATGTTAAAACTACAAATTACATCTATAATCATTTCTGGGGTTTCAGGTAACTTACTATATTTTCTGTGGCTAAGCTAAAATTTCACTAAAATAAAGAAATATAAAAATATAAGAAAGAATCTGCTACACCTGAGAAGTCAGCTCATTGGTTTGGTTCATGAATCCAACCTGTGTGAGAGAGAATATCTGTCCCTGCATTCAGCAAACATTTTTATTTTGTGCACACAAACTATGTGCTTAGCACTGAGCTAACCCCTTACTTAGCAAGAGTTGGGATCCTACAGAATGCATAACAAGGAGCACCGAGATGGACACTCATAGTACCCATCCAATAAACTATGGCAGGAGACGACATCACACAATAAAGCCCCAGGTCTCTGGGTTCCTTGAAGATGGAACTGAACACAGAAGTTTGATCTTATTTTCTTCTAAAAAAGAGAAAGAAGCAAACTACAGCCACTTCTAGATTTACTACAAAGTTTGTCCTCTAAGTGGCTTTCCTGTCATTTTTGCATACATCTTTAATGTGTATATTTTTTTCCTGAGTTTACATTTATCCTATTAGGTGCCTCTCTCATACTGTCATTAAAATATCAGGCACAAGACTTTTAAATCAGTGGCACTTCCACTCATCACATCTATGCATCCCTTTAGTATATGATGTGATATGCTCATTTTACTATCCCGAAATGGAATCCATAGATAACATACCTGCTCATCTATGTAATTTTTTAAAAGTATGCCTTAATGACAATATAAAAGATAAATCATAATACATATTTTAAAACATAGGTGTTTGGGCATAAGTAATCAGTTCCTTGCATCCAGATGCAAAAATCACTGTGGACACAACAACAAAATGAGATCCATGCAGAATATTTATTTCCAAACCAAATATAAAGAGCTTTGTCACTGGTGCCATAATTTTCCAAGATGGTGACCAACTTCTGACAAAGTTTTAAAACACAGTGGCATCTTCCCTCAAGTTACCTGATTTTAGGATTGTTTCAGTGTGTGTTAAAACTGGACAACAATTAACTTGTTTTGACATGTAAAATACCATGAGATTTTAATGTACAGGTAATGAGGTTTTTCAGGATCATAGGTCTTGTCAAGCAGGATATTCGATTGCGGTATAAGCCCTCACTATGGAACACTCCAGCAGAGGTGGGCTCCCCAAACATGCCCGTGGCCCACTATGTCTCCAATCTCCCTGGACAGTAGATTATAGGTATATGAGCAACTTTGTCCACTGTGGGTGGAAGTGATCTGTGGGACTTCTCTACTGAAGCCAGTAACAGCAGGGGTCTCCTCCTTTTCTCCCTCACTGCCTCCCCCACTGAACAACCCACAGTGACCTGGGAGCCCAAGATGAAGGATGGCCCCACACCTGCATGAGGCCCCTTGCACTTGCAAGAAATAAACATGCCTTCTGTTAAGACCCTGAAAATTCAGCATTTTCTGTTGTGACACCTGGTGTTTATTATCCTGGTGTTTATAAACACAGGACCTATCCTTTGCATTGCAAGGTATTTGTGTCATGACCTGCACCCACTAAACACCAGCAGTGCTCCAGAAGTCATTACAACAAGCAGAGACAGTCTCATGAATCCCCAGAGTACTCTCGGAAGAACCAAAGCTTTAGGTCCATAGCAAAATAAAAACCTTCATTAGTGATTCTTCTTCCACTTTATGCCTAGGAATAGATTCCTGGCATTTGCTGAACTGCTTTCTAGTCCTAGTTAAAATTAAGGAAACAATCACCCACACCAATCAGGATTATAGTAACAAACACAGTGAGACAGAAGGCAAACAGCCTTCTGCTTCTGACCAACCACTCTTGTCTTGGACTCTTTTGTGTTCATCAGGACACTCTATGGGTTTTGCCTCCATACGTCAGGCAGATTCCCTGCATCTGTGATGTCCAGTACCTTGTGTGGAATGGCTTTGTCCAGGTTGAGAGTTAAGTGACAGAAGACAAATGTGCTCGCTCAACAGGGTACTATGGGGGAAGACGCCACAGTTAACCAAATTGTTCTCAGAGTCAATCCACCAAGGTGAGGCATAGGGCCCCACATTCCAGTTGCTCTCACTGGCCCAAGCACTTCCTGCCCTGCAGGTCATCAAGGTAAATGAAAGACCACATGCAGGGACTCACCTCACATCCCTGGTGCTATCCATGGTGATACTTTGAATCCCTGTCACTCACTTGATGATGTTGACAGAGTCATGAATCTGTCTGTCTCTTCCCTTAGTATGCACTCCCAAGCTGACATTGTGTGTGTCTCCATGGTGCCCAAAGAACAGCCACTGGCATGGAGGACACCTGACCCTGTGTTCTCCATCAATACCAAATTCAATCACAGCATATCGACTCTATTGATAGCAAAGAAATAAAACCAGCAGCCTGTGAAAGGAAGCCATAAATTGCTACTTACACCAAACCCACACTCCAAAGACCATCTGCTGTGTTAGGTAAACTCTTTGAATCAACAAAGATTCAATAAGGGGGTCTCCTAGAATTCTTCAGTCTATAAGATTATTACCAAGCACTGCATTGGAAATTAGCAGAAAAAAAAAAAAGGAAGTGATCAGATTTTTTATTTTGTTTGTCTACATAAACTAGTTTGACCATTTTTAGTCATTCCGCATATGACTAAAAGCAAAAAAGCTAAGATATATTTCATAGTATAAATAAAATATATTCATAGTATAAATTTCATAGTATGAAATTTAGTATATAATTCCTGGACATATAATAGAAAACCACCTGGGGTTTGGTTTTCAACATCAATATTGGAGCAGATTTCATGTAAACCTGTCTTCTCTCTATACCACATTTTGTAGGGTGTGAATGCCAGTTTTTAAAAGACACAGGTTTTATACTGTTTGATAACATATTTAAACACAGACAAGACTCAAAAGAAGTACCCCAGATAGTTAAGTGTACTCTTTCTTCATTCTGAGCATCTACTCTGCATCCAACACTGTCACTTTCTTGTGGATACAGAAGGGGGAGAAGACATATCCTGCCCTTGTGAAGCCAACATCATAGCAGGGGCCATTGACAGTAAATAGGTCACTCAGTAAATCACACAGGCATTAGAAGGTGAGGGCCATGTGAGAACCCAGTGTGAGGAACACAAGAAGGAAAAGCTGCGATGTGAGTGAAAGGAAGTTCACTGAGAAACAAAGGCCTGTATCAGAGAGGGCAGAAGCCAAAACAACACTGGGGTGGGGGTCATTCTCCACAGGGCGAAGACCATGAGCAGGGGCAGTGTGGCTGGAGCAGAGTGGGAAGGGGTTCAAAGGAAGCTTGGAGAGTGACCTGGAGTGGGAAGAAGTGGGGGAGATTTCAATTTTACCCTGAAATTAGGGTTTTGAACAGAAAAGTGAACTCATACAATTTATGTTTACAATTTTACACACTATAATGGCTTAAAGAGGTGGAGAATGGAAAGAGAACAGCTAGAAGACACTTGTACTTGCTCCTAGAAAAGGATGCTGCTCCCTGCACCTGGGCAGGATTGATGGAGACACTGAGAAATAACCAGAGTCTGGATCTTTATCTACATTTGCATATTGACTGACAGCAGGTATGGGAGAGGGCAAATGTAGCTGATCACTCCAAGATTGTGGCTGGAGCTGCTGCAAGCATGGAAGTCGTTCGTGGAGGATGAGGGAACGGTGGGCAGGATAGATGCAGGAAGGGTAGGGGACCGATCTGGAGCGCACATGGGACACGGCTTGTGGCTGAATATACAAGTTGGGCTTTCAGGAAAGAGGTCCTATTCGAGAAGTTATATTTGGGCAGAAATAATAGTTGACAGTTGCAGTAAAGAGCTGGAAGCAAGGACAACTCAGTGAGGATAGCACCATGAAGGGGCTCAAAACCAAATTCTTGGTACTACAATACAAAGAGGTTGTGTTGATGAGAAGGAATCTGCAAAACCACCTGAAAAAGCCAGCAGTGGGGTAAAAGAAAAACAGACAAGTGCAGCTCCCTGAGAGCAAGGGAGAGAACTGTTCCTGGGGAGGGATTGGTGGACGGAATCAATGGTGATAAAAACGTAAAAAGGATGCCTCATCCTCCCAGCTTAATGCACATCTACATGTGATCCCATGTGACACCCTGTGCCTTTGTAAACACGTTTGTGAACCACAGAGCTGGTGAGCACATGTTGTTTACATATATCACCCTAGCACTATGGGCATGTGGTTAGTTGGCTATAAAAGATAAATACCTGCTGAGATGTCAACAACCTAAAGGAACAATGTATTTATGGAAAACATAATCTTGTTTACTCAGAGGGTAGACACTGATGAGAATGATTTTGACTTCAACCAGTAGAGGGCAGGTTTGTCTAGCATGCCAGACCCTCAGCAGAAAAACCCACCTTGCCTTAGGCCAAAAGTAGCCTTGGGGTTACAGAAGGGAGGGAGTGGGGGGATGGGGTAGCCAAGTGATGGGTATTAAGGAGGGCACATGCTGTGATGAGCAGTGGATGTTATACTGAACTGATAAATCATTGAACATTATATCAAAAACCAATGATATGATGGCTAATTGAACATAATAAAAATAGATACATATAAACTGAGGGTCTGGGGGGAGGGGGCTTGGGAGAGGGAGGGTGGGGTTATGGACATTGGGGAGGGTATGTGCTATGGTGAGTGCTGTGAAGTGTGCAAACCTGGCAATTCACAGACCTGTACCCCTGGGGAAAAAAATATATGTTTATAAAAAATAAAATTAATAAAAAAAATAGATACATATGTACGTACATACATACATACATACATACATAAAATAAATAAGCCTTGGTCTGCCCACATCTCTCAACAGACCACAGGGCATGCTGACTGAGGGGACAGCTCAGCAGACAGCCAAAAGAGATCACTGACATATCAGCAGGGGCTTGCCAGAACACTGGGGCCATTGGAGGGCCCGATCATAAGACAAAGCCTCAGCGGTGAGGCAGCTGGTCCTTTCTGCCTAGTTAATTCACATAATGGCTTTGTTGCTTAATTAACCCTAATTGCTTAGTCTATTAATTGTTTAATTAACTTGTTATGGAAATAAATGCATGTTTATTAATCAATAAGTGGTTTGTAACTTTCTTAGGTTACTTTATCCCATTGACATCCTCAATGAAGGAGACAGGAGCCTAGCACACACACAAGAGCCTGTCTGCAGAGAGTTGGAGAGGGGGTCATGAACTGAGGATGAAGGCAGTTAGCTGTATGGTGCAAATGCCAGTCTGTGGGGGGCTGTGGCTGGCAGAAAAGCTGGTTTAAGTGAGGAAGAAGATGTGGGTTAAGTCCAATGAAATTATAAGAAAAGATATAATAAAGATAAAAGTAGAACTCAATGAACAGAAGCAAAGCTTTTTTTTTTTTTGAAGCAAATTCAGTTTTTATTCTATACAATACATGAATATATGCATAAATTTTCCTTAAAGAGTTTGCAACCCTGAGGCAATGTCCTTGGGTATAGAAAGTATAGAGTAATAGCAAATGAGAGCTGAGCTCCAGGAACGAAATCGGACTTCAAGAACATAATTTACTATGAACACACCTGCATTATACCAGCAGTTTCTACACCTCAACTATGCCTCTTCACCCAGCTCTCCCGACTGCCTTGTGGTCCGCACGTCGGACAGCCTGACTCTCTCCAGATTTTACATCATATCCAGTGCCTTCCTTTCTGACTGAAATTTAACCAATCAGCGTGGAATTGACACATAGGGATTTCCGTCTGGTGAGTTGCTAGAGAGCTTGCCTGGTTTTTGACTGCAGCATCTGCCCACAGAAAAACTCTGGCTCCCAAAGGGGACTGGATGCCATCTGACTGTTGTAACCTTGTGTGTGTGTGGGGGGGGGGGTCCTTGAGCATCCTCTGGGATATACCAGAGGTGAAGTTTCTCCTCTGATTCGAGGGTTACACCAAGCTAATGGCTGAGCTGAAGAGGTGGGAGGTCTTGGCTACTGCATTCAAGAACCAATGAGTCTGAGGTCCTCAGTTTTCTGGGTGCACAACCCAGCCACTGTGAAGATGGGTCAGCGGATGGGGTGACTGGGGGCAGGTGCAGGGAGATTGGGTGTAAGGAGACCATTGTGCTTGTTATTCACCAAACTCATGGATGGTCAAAGATCTTTCAGTAAATGGTGAAAACCTTTTTTTGGATTATTTGGTTTTCCCAAGCTTTATAAACTTATGGTGAGGGCAAATGCTTATGAGAAACTAAAAGTGAGTTTATTATATTATTTATATATTATCATCTCCCCTCTGAGGATAACATAGAAGTGTAAATTAAAAAGCAGACAAATACCTATAAGGTGACTCGAGCTAGAGTGTGACTTTTGCCCTAAAACAATCGTCAGGCCTGGAAAGCAAATCTTGCAAACAGAATCTAACTTTGTCTGGCCCACTGATACACAATGATTCTGAGTCCCTCCTTGACTGACAAAGTCTGTTTTACTGAGGAATATCCTCCATTAATACTCATTTTTTTTTCTTTTTTCAATTTTAATTCCTGTAGTTAACACGCAGTGTTATATTAGTTTCAGGTGTACAATAAAGTGATTCAGCAGTTCCAGTGCTCATTGTGACAAGTGTGCTCCTAATCCCCATCACCTATTTCACCCATCCCCTACCCACCTCCCCTCTAGTAACCACCAGTTTGTTCTCTAGAGTTAAGAGTCTGTTTCTTTTTTTTTTTTTTTTTATAAACATATATATTTTTTCCCCAGGGGTACAGGTCTGTGAATCGCCAGGTTTACACACTTCACAGCACTCACCATAGCACATACCCTCCCCAATGTCCATAACCCCAACCCCCTTCTCCCAACCTCCCTCCCCCCAGCAACCTTCAGTTTGTTTTGTGAGATTAAGAGTCACTTATGGTTTATCTCCCTCCCAATCCCATCTTGCTTCATTTACTCTTCTCCTACCCCCTTAACCCCCCATGTTGCATCTCCTCTCCCTCATATCAGGGAGATCATATGATAGTTGTCTTTCTCCGACTGACTTATTTCGCTAAGCATGATACCCTCTAGTTCCATCCACGTCGTCGCAAATGGCAAGATTTCATTTCTTTTGATGGCTGCATAGTATTCCACTGTGTATATATACCACATCTTCTTTATCCATTTGTCTGTTGATGGACATCTAGGTTCTTTCCATAGTTTGGCTATTGTAGACATTGCTGCTATAAACATTCGGGTGCACGTGCCCCTTCGGTTCACTACGTTTGTATCCTTAGGGTAAATGCCCAGTAGTGCAATTGCTGGGTCATAGGGATTAATACTCATTTTATGTCATAATTATTCCAGGGGGTAACCAGTGCATCTTTCTCCTCCTTTCAGGCAGTGCCTCTGTCTCGGTCCTACTGGCAGTCTGCTCACTTCACTTATCGGAACTCCTGCATGGCCGGTGGAAGCTGGACACGTTCTCATTCAGTGCATAGATGCTTCGGGAGAACTCTTCAAATTCTCCCAGAACTTGTTCATCACACTCCACTGCCACGGCACTATCCACCGGGATGCAGTTAAAGGCTTCCAGCTGATCGCCGGAGGTGAAACCCGTGGCTTCCATCCCGATGATCTCCTCCACCTGCTCCACAGTACAGCAGAGCTCAGGCTCAGACCCCAGGTGGTACTCCCCCAGGAGGCGGACGCTGGAGGAGCCTCGCCGGGCAGCAGAGTGCCGTTGACCGTGGATGCGTGCCCAGAGAGGGTTTCTTCTTGTTCTTGGCCATTGCTCATGCCCACGTGACCGCCATTGAATCTGTCACCCAAATCAACTCCTTTTTTCTTGTTTTCTTTGGAGAAGTCCAACGAGGTATCCAAGGAGGAGGACAGGGATGTTGTCTTTCTCTCAGATTCTCCTGCGGAAGGGATGGCGGGAACAGGCTGGGTGAGCGCTGAGTTGTAACTGGGAGGAGGGCTTTGTTACTGGAGTCTCTCATTCTCTGAGCTGGCCCGTTTTTGGTGTCCTTTGTCTGGGGACAGGATCCCCGCAGAGAAGCCTACGTCTGCACCTCCAAATATGGAGCTTTGTCTCTTTGGAACAGGGATGGCACTGGAGGTGTGGTGTCTGTCGCACCTGACCATTAGTCCATGTTCCATGAAGTTTTTCAGGTTAGGGAGGGTTTGCCTCAAGTCTGGAGTCCCTAGTCCATGTTGATATCTTAGCTGTGCTATATTTTTGTTCAGAAGATAGACACCATAATCAAATTGTAACTTCTCCCCTCCTTTTGGATATAATGGAAACTCTCCTTTTCAGTCAGCTTATCATTGATATTATCTTTGATTGTTGATCTAGATCCCTTATGAATTATAGGATATCTTAGGGGCACTTGTAAGAAAAAGGAAATCATGGAGACCAAATGTGCTGTGTAACCAAGGGCAACAGCAATGCTTCCATCATCTTTTGCTTGGAAGTCCTCAGAATTGGGCAACTTGACACCACATACAAAGTAATCCTTATGCTCATTCAAATCAATAGGATAAATGTAGGAAAGTTCAGATAGTAAATTGCCTGCAACGAATTGTCAACTGAGCATTCGTCTTCAGAAAGAGTTCCCTTTTCGCAGTACACTCCTTCCTTAATTCATTCAGGGATTCCTTCTGGAGTTGAAGCTTGAGGTGCTCAGCTGAAAATGCACTTCCTTTGTCCTGTAATGCAATGTGTTGCTTATGCAGTAATGTCACCTCCCGTCCCAAAGCTTTCTCCATCCATAGGATGGATCAACAAAGACAAAAGTTTGATTTATTAAAAAGCTAATAAAGTTGGCAAAATCTTTTTCTCCAAAACAGACTATAGAAACAGACCACACAGGGATCATTTTCCTGATGTTTTTCTCCTGAAGATTCCCATATCCTCCTTCTCTGCCTTGTGTCAGTGCTATTGCTCCCAACCAAACATGCCAAAAATACCACCACCTCTTGCTGGCTCATAGTGTCAGGTTTCCATGGACTTGGTCTGACTCCATAGGAACAATTCCAGCACATTCTGTCCTGTTCAGTGAGTTGGATAATTGCATGATTGTCTTATCAGGAAAGTAGGTCTTTTGCTTTGAAACCCAAAGTGCCAAATGCCAGCCAGCACTCTTGATCAGACCCAGGTCTCTCTATACCCAACTAAAACAGTACAGCAGCACCTTCCATGGCTGCATTCAAAGGGTTGCTTTGACATAGCTGGGCCAAGCTGAGTGCCAAAACGGCAGAGACTGGGACTCTATGGTGAAAAATCTGTGGTTCCAATCCCTGCCTAAATCAGAGCTCCCACCCCAATAGACTTGGCAGGTGGTGATCCAGCCTTGGGGACAGAGAGGCTAGCCCATCCTTCAGTTAGAGTGCCCTGCTTCTCTGAAAAAACCTTCCTGATTTAGCTGTAAAGAGCTTCTTGGAAAACCTTGGAATACCAGCTATAGATCTGGAATAATAGAAAAGCAAATTAAATTCCACTTCCATATAATAATGATATGAAACTTGAAAGCAATTCTGATGCTCTCAGCCAGAGATGAATAACTTAAACATGCCAGGCTATGCAGTAGCGAGGTGGGTGGGGTATATGGTGAGGACTGCAGCCACCAGACAGCATGTGCCCATCCTGTGGGGCAGGCCATCATCAGTTCAACCCCACATGGTGGTCATAGGGCAAAATTATCCAACAATGCCAAATCTTTAGATTTTTCTGAAAATAAATCAGGAATATAGACTTTTAGTGAAAATGAATTAGAGGGTTTTTTTTTTTAAAGATTTTATTTATTTATTTGAAAGAGAGATTGCATGCACAAATAGGGAGAGGAAGGGGGACAAGTCATGGAGCCCAACACAGAACTCCATCCCATGACTCTGAGATCATGACCTGAGCTGAAATCAAGAGTCAGATGATGAATGGACTGAGCCACCCAGGAACCCCACACCTGAGTTGTTTTTTAATAGTAAAAGCCAACATTTTCATAATCAACACCAACTTTAACACTTCACTTTTCCAAGACATACTTAGCAACCCAGTTAGTATCCTTGATGTCACAAAAGTTTTAGACTTTCAGTACCAACACCCATAAAGAAAATTCTCCTCTTTAAAAGAATCTCACTTTTTTAAAGAATTCTTTAAAAGAATCATTTCCAGGAAATGGATTCATCACTTTAACCAGATTCTTTCAGTGTAGTTACAGGGGATTCTTGCCTTTTTTCCAAAACTGCAGATTTCTATTAATGCAATCTTAGCTTGTCTTGGCTTGTATCATTTGGTTTTTTATTTGGCCAAATCAACCTATCTTGTGTGTATACAATTTATTTTTTGATTTTTGGTGGAGTATTTGAATCTGTGACTCAAAATAAATTGAATTAAGAGAGGAGGTGGGAATGTGGGCTGCATTGAGCCTAAGTGATGGAATTTCTATGTATTATAAATGACAAAGCCTAGGGTGGGACTGGGGATGTGAGTGGCTGAGGGGAGTAGAGGACAAGGCCACATTATAAGAGGCAGTCATGAACTTCCAAGGCATTGGGAAGAGCCTCCATGTAGATGTCCATGTGAGACATGAACCGTTGGGGAAGATGAAATCCAAGGAATGAAGGGAAACAGCCCTAGGGAATCTATAACTTTGTAGTCTTTATAGTAAGGAGCAGAGGTCAAGGAGGAAGAAAGGCCACACCACACCTGATTCAGAGGATAACAGGGCTGTAGAAGAAATGCATTCACCTAGAGCATGCTGCATGAGAGGCAGGTATCTTCTCTCAACTCCTAACATAGAGGTAAAGTCCTTGTCATGCCCAATGAACTCTCCTCGACCAGCTTATGGCTATTTCTCAGCCTTCACCCTTGCACCAAACTCACTGGAATTCCATCC